AGCCTGAGGGCAGGAGCTTCTGTCCCTGTGGAATTGGGGTGTGTACCACCCTCCCGGAAGGTGGATGAGTTCTCATTCACCCTTCCGTCCTCATGTACAGCTCTCTGGAAGCTCTCTGAGCCCTTTCTTTTGTGTGTGTGCGTGTGTGTGATTGAGTCTCACTCTGTTGCCAAGCTGGAGTACAGTGGCACGATCTTGGCTCACTGCAACTTCTACCTTATAGGTTCAAGCGATTCTCCTGCCTCATCCTGTTGAGTAGCTGGGAGTATAGGTGTGCGCCACCACGCCCGGCTAATTTTTGTACTTTTACTAGAGATGGGGTTTCACCATGTGGGTCAGGCTGGTCTCGAACTCCTGACCTAGTGATCAGCCCAACTGGGCCTCACAAAGTGCAGGGATTACAGGCATGAGCCACCACGCCTGGCCCTACCCCACCCTCGCTTTTTTTTTTTTTTTTTTTTGAGACAGAGTTTTGCTCTTGTCACTCAGGCTGGAGTGCAGTAGTGCGATCTATGCTCACTGCAACTTCTGCCTCCCGGATTCAAGCAATTCTCCTGCAAATCAACCTCCTTGAGTAGATGGGACTGCAGGTGTGCTAAAAACACCTGGTTAATTTTGTCTGTGTATTTTTACTTTTTTGAGACAGAATTTTGCTCTTCTTGCTTGGGCTGGACTGCAAAGGCGTGATCTCGGCTCACTGCAACCTCCACCTCCTGGGTTTAAGCAATTCTCCTGCTTCAGCCTCCTGAAGTAGCTGGGACTACAGGCACCTGCCACCACGCCTGGCTAATTTTTTTGCGTTTTTAGTTGAGACAGGATTTCACCACGTTGGCCAGGCTGGTCTTGAACTCCCGACCTCAGGTGATCCACCCACCTCGGCCTCCCAAAGTGCTGGGATTACAGGCACTAGCCATGCCCCCGGCCCCCTTTTGGGTTTTAATGGCGGCTTCATTAAATAGACATGATTCACCATCATAAAGAAACGTAGGCCGGGCGCGGTGGCTCAGGCCTGCAATCCTAGCACTTTGGGAGGCCGAGGCGGGCGGATCACAAGGTCAGAAGATCAAGATCATCCTGGCTAACACGGCGAAACCCCGTCTCTACTAAAAACACACACGCACAAAATTAGCCGGGAGAGGTGGCGGCACCTGTAGTCCCCGCTGCTCGGGAGGCTGAGGCAAGAGAATGGCGTGAACCTGGGAGACGGAGCTTACAGTGACCCGAGATTGCGCCACTGTATTCCAGCCTGGGCGACAGAGCGAGACTCCGTCTGAAAAAAAAAAAAAAAAAAAAAAGAAATGTAATTAGGCATTAGTATGATCTCATATGAATGGACTGACTGGGGAGCCCGGCGGGGCCTGTCTGTCCAGATTCCTCTTTGTGTCTCTGCGCAGCTTTCCTTCCTCCAAGGTATGGGGCATGACCCTCTCTGGAATGAGGTCTTGGGGCTCCCAATCAGATTACAGTCCTGCCTTGGGCAGTGAAAAGAGGACAGAAAGACAGAGAGATTCTGTTTCCCTAGGCCTTCGCCTGAGGACTGAAGAACCCATATTTAGGCCAGGCGCGGCGGCTCATGCCTGTAATCCCAACACTTTGGGAGGCCGAAGGGGGCAGATTACGAGGTCAGGAGATCAAGACCATCCTGGCCAACATGGTGAAACCCCATCTCTACTAAAAACACAAAAATTGGCCGGGCGCGGTGGCTCAAGCCTGTAATCCCAGCACTTTGGGAGGCCGAGACGGGCGGATCACGAGGTCAGGAGATCGAGACCATCCTGGCTAACACGGTGAAACCCCGTCTCTACTAAAAATACAAAAAATTAGCCGGGCGAGGCGGCGGGCACCTGTAGTCCCAGCTACACGGGAGGCTGAGGCAGGAGAATGGCGTGAACCCGGGAGGCGGAGCTTGCAGTGAGCTGAGATCCGGCCACTGCACTCCAGCCCGGGCGACAGAGCGAGACTCCGTCTCAACAAAAAAAAAAAAAAAAAAAAAAAAAAAACACAAAAATTAGCCAGGCGTGGTGGCGGACGGCTCTGTAGTCCCAGCTACTTGGGAGGCTGAAGCAGGAGAATTGCTTGAACCTGGGAGGCAGAGGTTGCAGTGAGCAGGCTGGTGCACTGGCTCACACCCGTAATTCCAGCACTTTGGGAGGCCGAGGAGGGCGGATCACCTGAAGTCAGGAGTTTGAGACCAGCCTGGCCAACATGGCAAAACACAGTCTCTATTAAAAATACAAAAATTAGCTGGAGGTGGTGGCAGGCAGCTGTAATCCCAGCTACTCAGGAAGCTGAGGCAGGAGAATTGCTTGAACCCAAGAGGCAGAGGTTGCAGTGAGCTGAGATCGCGCCACTGCATTCCAGCCTGGGCAACAAAGCGAGACTCCGTCTCAAAAAAAAAAAAAAGAAAGAAAGAAAGAAAAAAAAATCAGGTCGTTGCAGTGGCAGAGGTTGCAGTGAGCCGAGATCACGCCACTGCATTCCAGCCTGGGCGACACAGCAAGACTCCGTCTCGGGTGGGGGGAAAGAAATCACAAGGACGGCTGGAAACTGTTTGGCACCAGCTTCCAGTGCTGGCACATATATGTTCTATTACCCACCGATTACTCTACTATTCCTGATAGAAATGCATGAATATGTCCTCCGAAGATATGGAGCCACCATGCCCAGCAGTTCCCTTTTTTTTTTTGAGACGGAAATCTTGCTCTGTCTCCCAGGCTGGAGTGTAATGGGGTGATCTCAGCTCACTGCAACCTCTGCTCCCTATGTTCAAGCCATTCTCCTGCTTCAGCCTCCCCAGTAGCTGGGATTACAGGCGCCCACCACCATGCCTGACAAATTTTTGTATTTTTAGTAGAGGTGGAATTTCACCATGTTGGCCAGGCTGGTCTCAAACTCCTGACCTCAAGGGATCTGTCCTCCTCGGCCTCCCAAAGTGCTGGGATTATAGGCATGAACCACTGTGCCCAGTCCCCATCCCACCCCACCCCCTTTGTTTTTGAGACCGTGTTTCGCTCTTTTGCTGAGTCTGGAGTGCAGTGACGCGATCTCAGCTCACTGCAGTCTCTGCCTCCTGGACTCAAGTCATTCTCCTGTCTCAGCCTCCTGAGTAGCTGGGATTACAGGCGCTTTCCACCACGTCCGGTTAATTAATTAATTAATTTTTTGAGACGGAGTCTTGCTCTGTTGCCCAGGCTGGAGTGCAGTGGCGGGATCTTGGCTCACTGCAAGCTCCACCTCCTGAGTTCACGCCATTCTCCTGCCTCAGCCTCCCGAGTAGCTGGGACTACAGGTGTCCAACACCTCGCCCGGCTAATTTTTTGTAGTTTTAGTAGAGACGGGGTTTCACCGTGTTAGCCAGGATGGTCTTGATCTCCTGACCTTGTGATCCGCCCGCCTCGGCCTCCCAAAATGCTGGGATTACAGGTGTGAGCCACCGCGCCTGGCCTAATTTGCTGGTCTCGAACTCCTGACCTCATGTGATCTGTCCCTCTAGGCCTCCCAAAGTGCTGGGATTACTGGTGTGAACCACTGCACCCATCCTCCCTGCCCCACCCTTGGCCTTTTTTTTTTTTTTTTTAAGATGAGTGTCTGACTATATTGCTCTGGCTGGTTTTTATCTCCCGGGCTCAAGAGATTCTTCCTAAACTTTGGGATTTTACAGGTGTCAGCCATCCTGCCCCACCAGGATATAAGTCATTTGTCAGATATAAGTATTATAAACATCTTACCCCAGTTTTTTTGTTTTGTTTTGTTTTGTTTGAGACAGAGTCTTGCTCTGTTGCCCAGGGTACAGTGCAGTGGCACTATCTCAGCTCACTACAACCTCCGCCTCCTGGGTTCATGAGATACTTCTGCCTCAGCTTCCCAAGTAGCTGGGATTACAGGCACATGCCACCACGCCCAGCTAATTTTTGTATTTTTAGTAGAGATGGGGTTTCACTATATTGGCCAGGCTATTCTCAAACTCTTGACCTCATTATCCACCCGCCTTGGCCTCCCAAAGTGCTGGGATTACAGGTGTGAGCTGCCGCGCCTGGCCCATCTTACCCCAGTTTTTATTGCTGTTACTTTCTCTCTTTTTTTTTAGACGGAGTCTTGCTCTGTTGCCAGGCTGGAGTGCAGTGGCGCCATCTTGGCTAACCGCAACCTCCGCCTTCCGGGTTGAAGCGATTCTCCTGTCTCAGCCTCCCAAGTAGCTGAGATTACAGGTGCCCACCATCACAGCCAGCTAATTTTTGTATTTTTAGTAGAGACGGGGTTTCACCATGTTGGCCTGGCTGGTCTCGAACTCCTGACCTCAAGTGATCTTCCCGCTTTGGCCTCTCAAAGTGCTGGGATGACAGGCATGAGCCACCGCGCCTGGCCGAGCTTAAAGTTTTTTTTTACAATCTCAGTGATGTATCTCGGAGGGCAGGGACTCAGTATATCTCATTTACTGCTGCATGCCCAGCGCCCCTTACCATGCCTGGCACACAGTGGGCCCTCGACAAATGTTTATTGAATGAATGACAATGTCGTAGTCTTGTCTCTGGCCTCATTTTCTTCCTGTGGGCATGTTAATCTCTGTCTTGCCCATTTCACAGGATGTTGTGAGGCTGCAGGAACCACAGGACCCGTTCCCCCACCCGCCCAGGCGTTGGGTTTGGAGGCTCTCAGGACGCGTCAGCTTTTACATTCAGGAAAGGCGGAGCTCCAGTCTTCCCCGATAACTTGCCGGCTAAGCTCCACGTGGGCAACCCGCCCACATCCAGCCACGCCCACACCCGTCAGCTGATGGGAGGGTCAGGACCAGACTCTAAGGGCGTGGCTAGAGCCCAGAACGAGGAAGAAGGCGGAGTTCCGGAGGTCACTGACCAATGAAAGCGCAGGTCTTTTGGCCGGAAAAGGCGGGGCCGCGAGCCGGAGAAGGTGGTGCCACATTTCCATTGGGATACCTGTCGTCGTCAGGGAAATGAAGCGTCTCCCCGCCAGGGAGGTGAAGGGGCGGGGCTTCCTGGGAGGTGGGGCTTCTGAGGCCGGCTCGGCTGGGACCGGGCGCTCACGGTCAGCTGACCGGCCGCCATCTTGTCCGCCATTTGCAAGTGGCCCGGAGCAAGATCGCGGCACCTGCCGAGCGGGTTGCCACCTCTGCGGCGGTCCTTGGACCCCGCCGCCGCCCTGGCCTGGGAGCCTGCCCCGCCGCAGCGGCCGGCAGCGCAGCGCTCCGCGGGCGGCAGGCGCGGACCCCAGGCCCCCTCACGGCGCCCAGCCGCGGGCCTCCCGGGGCAAAAGCCCGTGGGCCGCCGCGATGGCCCTCAAGATGGTGAAGGGCAGCATTGACCGCATGTTCGACAAGAATCTGCAGGACTTGGTCCGCGGCATCCGTAACCACAAGGAGGACGAGGTGAGCCCGGCGCGCCAAGGGGCGGCTCGGCCTGGTCACCGCCCCAGCCCCGGGCCCAGCGCTGCTCACTGGGCCTGCTCGGCCTGGGCTCTGTCTTAGTTCGAGGTCCCGCTCTCGGCTCCGTCCCTGCCTGGCCTGGGCCTGGGGCGCCGCCCTCGTCTTCGGTCCCTCAGCCTCAGTTTACCCCCGAGGGGCGAAGGCCTTAGAGCAGCACGTCTAGGGTCCTCGCCTCATCGGATCACCGCGGGGAAGCGCTGTTCAAAATGCAATGCTCTGAGCCCCACCGATGCGTGCTCTCCCCCTGGACCCTCAGTTTACTCGCTCAGAGGGAGATTCGGGCCCACCTCCCCCTTGGCTCGGGTGACCCTCCCAGGAGACTTCCGAGGTCCTTGGACAGAGTTTCTCCAACGTGAGTGTGTTTCCGAATCACCGATTAAAAATGCAGGAGCCCGGGCCCCGCCCCCGGACCCTCCCTGGGAGACCGGGGCAGGGGGTCCTGGGCCGCCCCTGGAGAAACTCCTTCCCTCTGGGTAGTGTAAATGCGTGTCCAGGTTGCTGCCTGGGGCCTGGCTCGGAACCGGGCAGGGTCTTGGGGCCTTGCCTCCAGTGCCCCGGTTCCCAGGAAGGCGAGGCTGCTGCTGGGAAGGAGGGAGGACAGCGGCATCCTAAGCCCGAGTGAGGTAGCAGCCTGGGGGAACCTGGAATGGGGAAGCTAACTTCAAGTAGGAACCTGAAAGCCAGCGCGAGGAAACGGTTTTCCAGAAGTAAAATTACAACTATGGGGATCGTTTCCTTCCCGCTTCTCCCTTCCCCCAACCTGTGACCTAGATTGAAAAAGAATGGGCACAGTGGCCAGCAAGCGTCTTGCTTCCTTGAAGGATACCCATGCAGCCCTTGGGCAGTGGGAGCCTTAGAAAGTGTCCTACCTGAGGACTGCCTGTCTGCTTCCCTGCGTGGACAGCAAGGCCGGCCTGAAGGAGATCCGCCTCTGATACCGCACCAGTCACAGTGCCAGAGGCTGTGTCCCGGACGAGGTGCCCAGGAGGGCAGGGAAGTGAAGGGGTTTGCTTGCAGGCTCTGTGTCCCTCAGCCCATTGCCCCTCTCCCTGGGAACCTGAGCTTTTGCCGGATTGTTACACCTTTACACTTTTCTGGAAGTGGTGTGGCTTCGCCTGCCCCCACCTTAATGAGGTCATTTTTGTTCTTCTCCACCCCCCTTACCTTCGGCCTCCTTGGTTTTCATCATCTCAGAAGCTCTGCCTAACTGCTTTGGTTACAATGTGTAACTAACTGGAGTAATGTTCAGATTCTTTGTGAGTTGAAAGCGTGGCTGATGGGCCTGCTTTTACTGTACTGAGCGTGGTTCACCAGATTGGAAATGTGCTTTGCTTCCCGAGAGGCCTTTTTCTGCACAGGCAGGATCTCCCAGTGCCCGTCCCTGTCCCTGTCAGCACATGTCACTGAGCAGCCTGTTCTGGAATCCTGAGGATGGGCCGGGGGGTTTGTCCAGTGGAGGACCACACCTCTAGTCTGGGGCGTGGTTTTCAGGGGGATGTGCCTGTCTTCACTGGGAAGCCCCTGAGCCTGGGTTTCTTCCTTTGGAATTGGTGTGAGTTCATAGCGCTTTCCCTACAAGCATGGGCCCCTTCAAGGGGGTATTGGTGGTGGAAACATTTTTTTTTTTTTTTTTGAGAAAGAGTTTTGCTCTTGTTGCCCAGGCCGGAGTGCAAAGGCATGATCTTGGCTCACTGCAACCTTTGCCTCCCAGGTTCAAGCAATTCTCCTGCCCCAGCCTCCTGAGTAGCTGGGATTACAGGCATACGCCACCACGCCCAGCTATTTTTTTTTTTTTTTGTATCTTTAGTAGAGAGGGGGTTTCACCATGTTGGTCCGGCTGGTCTCTAACTCCTGACCTCAGGTGATCCGCCCGCCTCAGCCTCCCAAAGTGTTAGGATTACAGGTGTGAGCCACTGCACCCGGCTGGGAAACATTTTTAAACGGCGCAGCGCGTCCTTGAAAGTCCCAGACTTCCTCATGGGCCCTGCCGTTGGCCAGTGGGTGATTTCAGACAGGACGTGTGGTGTCTGGGGACCCGGCTTTCTCGCCAGAAGACCGTTGTTGTGGCCCAGAGGGTCGTAACTCAGCTGTTCATGTCTGATTCTGGATGTTGTCTGCAGCTGCTGGAGTCTCCTGATTGGAGAGCAGCAAATGACTGTTCAGTGACGGTTCTAGCCGTCCCCCCAGCACCCGCACTCACTCTGAAAACGCAGCTACCCTGTAGACCGTATGTTGTGGGCTCTTCCCTCCCACCCACCGCGCCCGGAACGAAGACTCTAGATGGTGTGCGTTTTCTGCGGCAGTATAGTTTCCAAAAACAGTTTCCATTTCGTAATGGATTTTCCCCTAAAACTTGAGCGTGGCATCATGGAAGCGAGGCTCAGCCGTGACTTTGAAAGCGGCGTGGAAAGGCAGCGCGATGGAGTGGAAATGGCGTGAGGTTTGGGAAATCCGAGTCCAGGTGCTTGGCTGAGTGGCTGACTTCCTGGGGCGGCCCATGGAGAGCCCCCTGCTCTGTCTCCTTCTGTGTAAGTGGGGATGACGGTCACCTGCCTCCTTGCTGAATGACGCTGAGGATGCTGCAGTGAAACGCGGTTTCCTGGAAGCACCAGAGCGCTGAGGTTGTCTAGTTCACTGTTTTCCAGACCTCAGGCTGTGACCTCTTTGTGGGTTGTAAATTCAATTTAATGGGTTATGCTAGGTAAGAAAAAGGAAAAGAAACTAGAAAAGACCAGGGTACAGACACATACGGTAACTGTCCGGTCCTGAAACTTTGATTTCTGCATGTGATACTTGTGTGCACATGTGAACCTATCGGGTTCCCATGCAAAACCCATTCAGATGAGTCCTTTTTTTTTTTTTTTTTGAGACGGAGTCTCCCTCTGTCGCCCAGGCTGGAGTGCAGTGGCTGGATCTCAGCTCACTGCAAGCTCCGCCTCCTGGGTTCACGCCATTCTCCTGCCACAGCCTCCCAAGTAGCTGGGACTACAGGCGCCTGCCACCTCGCCCGGCTAGTTTTTTGTACTTTTTAGTAGAGACAGGGTTTCACTGTGTTAGCCAGGATGGTCTCGATCTCCTGACCTCGTGATCCGCCCGTCTCGGCCTCCCAAAGTACTGGGATTACAGGCTTGAGCCACCGTGCCTGGCCCAGATGAGTCCTTTTAAAAAGCATAAGTAGTGGTCTCATTCGTACGTGTCTTGGTCCACTTGAGAGTGTCCTCAGTTTCTAAAGCTCGGTAGAATTGGCACAAAAGCCAAACGACTTTTTTTTTTTTTTTTTTTTTTTTTTTTTTTTTGAGATGGAGTCTCGCTCTGTCACCCAGGCTGGAGTGCAGTGGCCGGATCTCAGCTCACTGCAAGCTCCGCCTCCCGGGTTCACGCCATTCTCCTGCCTCTGCCTCCAGAGTAGCTGGGACTACAGGCGCCCGCCACCACGCCCGGCTAGTTTTTTGTATTTTTTTTAGTAGAGACGGGGTTTCACCATGTTAGCGAGGATGGTCTCGATCTCCTGACCTCGTGATCCGCCTGTCTCGGCCTCCCAAAGTGCTGGGATTACAGGCTTGAGCCACCCGCCCGCACATTCCCAGCCTTTTTTTAAATTTTTTTTTTTTTTTTTTTTTTTTTTTTTTTTTTGAGACGGAGTCTCACGCTGTGCCCAGGCTGGAGTGCAGTGGCGCATCTCGGCTCACTGCAAGCTCCGCCTCCCGGGTTCCGCCATTCTCCTGCTCAGCCTCCTGAGTAGCTGGGACTACAGGCGCCGCCGGCCCGCTATTTTTTTTTTTTATAGACGTTTCAGTTTTTTCCTTTGATCCGCCTCTCCAGTGCTGGATACAGTTGAGCCCGCCCCTTTTTTTTTTTTTTTTTACGGAGTCCGCTCTGCGCCAGCTGCAGGCGGCCGGATCTGCCCTCAAGCTCGTCCGGTCCGATTTGCTCAGTCCGAGTAGTGGACTCAGGCCCGCCAGTAGACGGTCTCGGATCTCCTGCCTGTGGTCGCTCCAGTGCTGGATACGCTGACCCGGCCTTTTTTTTTTTTTTGGACGGGTCTGCGCTGTCGCCAGCTGGGTGCGTGGCGCGATCTCGCTCACTGCAAGCTCCGCCTCCCGGTTCACGCCATTCTCCTGCTCAGCCTCCCGAGTAGCTGGGACTACAGGCGCCCGCCACCGGGCCCGGCTAATTTTTTGTATTTTTAGTAGAGACGGGGTTTCACTGTGGTCTCGATCTCCTGACCTTGTGATCCACCCGCCTCGGCCTCCCAAAGTGCTGGGATTACAGGTGTGAGCCACCGCGCCCGGCCTCATTTTTTCTTTTTTCTTTTTCTGAGACTAAGTCTCTCTCTGTCACCAGGCTGGAGTGCAGTGGCACCATCTCTGCTCCATGCAAACTTCGCCTCCCAGATTTGAGTGACTCAATCTCCTAAGTAGCTGGGACTGCAGGTGCGAACCACCACACCCAGCTGATTTTTGTATTTTTAGTAGAGATGATTGTTCACTATTTTGTCCAGGATGGTCTTGATCTCCTGACCTCGTGATCTGCCCACCTCGGCCTCCCAAAGTGCTGGGATTACAGGCATGAGCCACCGCGCCCAGCCCATTTTTTCTTTTTATTATTTTTTTGTTTTGTTTTGTTTTCTTCTTTTTTTTTCCGAGACAGAGTCTCGCTGTGTTGCCCAGGCTGGAGTACAGTGGCACAATCTTGGCTTGCTGCAACTTCCGCCTCCTGGGTTCAAGCAGTTCTCCCTGCCTCAGCCTCCCGAGCAGACTCCAACTCAAAAAAAAAAAGATATAAAGATATTCAATTTGAACTGAGTGTGTCTTCTTTTCTTTTAATACCATCAGTCATTCCCCTAGATCGGCGTCTGCCCCTCAGCACTGTGGATGTTGGGGCTGGATCATTCTCTGAGTAGTGCTATTCTGGGCACCATAGGGTGCTGAGCAGTGTCCCCG